GAAGAAAATTTAGAGCTATGTTTTTATTACCGCTAAGGGATCATAGGATTTAGGGCACTGTTTCAACTTTAAAAAGGCATTAATTAACAAGGGTGGTGTTTGGTTTTGTTGGTTTTTGTTTTGTTTTGTTTTTAACAAAGTTGTTATTAGATAATGGCTCCCTTCTCCAACCCTGATATCCACACACCTTTCAGTCAGTTGCGAGAGAGTAATACATCTGTTTTCTTAAATAGCTCATTAGTGAAGGCTGAGTCAAAAAAAGCACTTAAAATTGGCAACAAAGACCCAAGGTCCAGGAAAATAAACATTTCAGAGATGCTCATAGTATCAGAGAAATTAAGAAATAATGTGATCATCATCTAGCTCTGTAAGAAATGGGTAAGAAACCTCCCAATTAGAAAAAAAAAGGAGACATAATATTCAGTGATTCCAAGTGGAAGTCATGCCCAGTGTAAAAGTAACTAGCAGTAGTCATCGGAAGTAGAGTAGGGAGGAACAACACCCCCCACCCCCGCCCCCCAACTTAAAAAACCCCCATCCTATACAAACCTCCCCCAAAGAAAATACCCAGAAAACTCAAACAAAACCCAAACATAACCCCCAATAAGTAAACTAATAAGCTCTGACCAATTTACTGGAGCTCTCGAGGCCAAAGCAAAGCAAGAGCCTTTACCGTCAGGACTACGGGTGATTTTGTTAAGCCCACTAACCACTAAACTTTCTACTTACGCTTCACCTGCAACTCCTGCTCGAGGGAACTCTGGATGGACGTACAGCAACTTATACTCGGGAGCCGATGCATCTCCCTCCCCTTCAGAGGGCTTCCAGTTCTCCGCTCCACTCATACCCATCTGCTTGCATTTGGCTTGCTGTTTGCCTTTGGTGTACAGGCCAGGAGTGAGATGAATGTGCTCTGGGGTGAGCGGAGCCATGGCTTTCCAGTCGTACACATCCATCTGAACAACGTGACTGGGTGACAACAGCCGAATGATATCAATCAGAAGCAGCAACCCCTCACCTTTAGGGAGCAGAGAAAACACGATTGCTGCCACTACATAAACAGGTCGGAACACTGTTACGGAAGACCAGTACTGGCTCGAGGGGGGTAAGCTGTATTTTCTGGTTCCGGACTCTCTAGAAAGCATTACGGTGTACTGCTACGATTATTACCTTCCTTCCGCACTACCTCTTGAGAACAGATTTATCCTGTTTACCTTTCACCCAGCCCATGGTATTGATGACTAAAGGCACTTCCTTCTTGTAGGAGCTGAACACATACTTCACGACATCAAGGTATCTTTCCGTGTCCTGCTCACAACTAGTCTGTCCGTAATATACCATCTTACGTGGCATTTGCTGATGAGTGAATGGTGGACCTGAAAAAGCAAGCAGCAAACCTCTAGTGGTTTCAGTAAGTCAAATCAAAAAACTCCCATCCTTGTAGCGCCTACATGCAATCCCTTCCGAAATCTGTCCTCTTTTCACATGCTAACAGTCCTTCTTGTACAGCCTGCACCTATGGTGAAACTTTTCTGGCACTTGCAAGACTCCATGCTAGTAGTTTTGTTTGTTTGGGGGTTTGGGTTCTTTTCTTGTTTGTTTTAAATCACTGGTTACACATTTGTGAATTTTAAAACAACAATCTTCTATGATAGACTATCCAAGAAGTAAACCAGTCTGGCCATTTCCTTTTTAGACAGCGACCCAAACCCACAAATACCAGCAATTTCTCTGGCTCTATTTTTTTTACCCTCGTAACAACAGCCCCCAGCCTATGTGGATCCACTTTGTACTTCTGAGGCTAGTTTTATCTACTGATACTAAAAACTGGGAAAGACTTTCCCAAAGAGACCCTTCAAATCTGAAAGGCTGAAAATCCACTTTGACATGCCACAGCCTGTTCCACCACCTTATAAACAACTATCTTCTCCTCTCTTTAAAACAGAAAAAACAAGCAGGGAGAATAGCTCCATGTTACTTAGTGAGATTTTTCACATGAAGCTTAGATGCCCCTAGCAAGGAAACTTTTACAGCCTTTGTTTCATTTTCTATATGCACCTTTGACAGATGTGGCAACTTCCCCTGAAGTACAGCCTCTACTCAGAAAGCACCTTCTGGAAATGAAACAGGTTTCTGGCAACTGCAGAAAACAGCAAAACACGTACCAAGAATTGGCTCTGTTATGTTACTTAAAGACACGCATCCAGGAGGCGTAAATTCAGTTTGACCTATGTCACATTCCATATATTCAACCGAGGGAAGGCTGCAGTGAAAGAAGCCCGTATATTAGCGTCCACTAAAAAAAGAAACGGGACACGACCTGGAACACATCAGGAGCACAATCTGATTTTGTTCCAGGTCATCAAAATTAAATTCTTGAACACAATCAAACCACCACTTGTCTCTCTCCTTCCCCCACCTGAGGGAGTATTAAGTGAGAACGTAAAAGGCTCACCTACAGTTCAGTATTATATTACAATAGTTCCTATACCCATCCAGCCCTAAAAGAAGTAGCTAGAACGATAATCGGAGGTGGTACCAATCAGCGTACCGCTCTCCCTCATTAACTGGGTACCCTGAGACCAGCCATTTGAGATTCATAAACTTTATCGTCTTTATTTTAAGCATGCAGTGGTCAGGAGAATAAGCTTCTACACCTAGCTCTGCCAAGAATCTTCAAAGACCCTAACAAATTATAACTTACTGTGTATTTTTAAGTGTTATAACTCCCAATTCCTTACTGAACCCTAACTGCTCGGTGCTCAATTAGTTCACATACTCCAAGACAGCAATTTAGTAGTATGTCAATAGAAATGTTTCAGTAGTCAACTTTTCTGAAAGGAACCCAAGACAAGAATGCCTATTTTTCTGGATTTTTGTTTGTTTGTTTGTTTTTAAAAGATAAGCCACCTTCCAGTCATAACAGTTTTTCTGAGAATCTTGGCAGGCAGTTTTTGTTCCTTCTCCTAAATCCCATGCAGTACTTAAAAACTTGTAGAACATGGAAAGACTCACCGATTCAGTAACAGATTAATTAGGTATCTGTTAAATGTAGATTTCCCAGTGTTTTTTGGGCCACACACCAGAACCACAGGGACACCTTCATCTTCCGCTGGAAAAACAAACATACTCTGAAATGGACCAATGCTGTCAGTTATTCCGGTGTGCCCTGTTTACATAAATTTGTTAAAAAAAAAAAAAAAAAAGCCCCCAAAAACCTACAGACTCTGTGATCTAACTAGAATGTACTTTAGTTAAACAGAAAAAAATCCGTTAAAGAGAAGCACATTAAGAGTACCAGTGTACTCAGTGTACCAGGCTCTTGAAGTGAGAAGCAAGCCCTAGCACTAAAACCCAGCACGTATGACCTCCAATTGCTCACAGTATTTTAGATGTTGCTGGATAAGTAAGGGAGTGTTTTTTCTACCTGCTACAAAAGAGAGCAAAACGAGAGTTCTGATGTCAGACTGGGAAGTGCCTTTACTGCAGCAAGCTGCCTGTCTGGCAGCAGAGGCACAAACCCACTCGAGGTGATGCACGAGCTCAAGACTCCCACTATTTAGGAGAAAAACATGACCCTCAATCAGCGCCTGTCACAGGGTACACTCTCCCTAACTTTAACTCATGAAAAGCCTCATGAATGAAGCTACTAAAGCCCCCAACCTCACCAAGCGCACGCCACTCACCACAGCATGCTTGGATCAGCTCCTCCAAAGCCAGGAACATGCTCTCCGACACCAGTAGCCCACGGTCAGGGCTACGCTTCACGATGCCAACAGATGCCAGAACCGCATCTTCCGGCGTGAAGCTGGGTTCTTCCTTTTTCTAGACAAGAGTGGAAAAATGCTTGAGAGGTGTGCATAAGGCCTTGTAGCTGTGTTGCTGGACACTGACAGGCATGCTAAGCAGGGCAGCCACCTCTCACTCTGCACAAGGCCTGTTTTGGGGAAGGCTGCTGCCCAGGGCGGAGCGGGCATCACGATGCCTTCTGGGTCTCACCTGGGGCTCGAAGAGCCGCGACAGCTGCAGGTGGCTCAGCAGGTACCGTGTCACTGGCGTGTCCAGGTGCTCCAGCAGCACCACGGCGCACTCCGGCGAGAATCGTGCCATCACCCTCACCCGCGCCTCTGCAACAGGGGGAGAGCGCCGCCCTCAGCCCGCGCTAAAGGACGGTGGCAGCGCCGCACGCAAAATGGCGGACGCCCCGCACCGCGCCGCATACAAAATGGCTGCCTCCCGCACCACACGCAAAATGGCGGCCACCCGCACCGCACCCAAAATGGCGGACCGCAACCAGCGGGCCATCCTCCGCTTCACCCCCGGCTAGCACTCACGGCGG